GGGAGAGAGAGAGAGAGAGAGAGAGAGAGAGAGAGAGAGAGAGAGAGAGAGAGAGACGTTCAACGATCACTAAGCCTGTGTTAAGTGTGTGCTGCAAAATTTCGTAACACTTCCGTTTTCAAAATAAACTATCTCTGTTAAATTAATCTTTGGACAGCCTTTATACTGAAACCATTGTCGACAGCACGTTGTGACGATATGCGGATCGGTAAATGAATGAATGTTTATAATGAGTGTGCCAGGTGTTAGTGCTTGAATGATATTCCAATACAGCAAATACTGTATCCAGATGTTGCATTGCTGCACTTTACAAAGAATGTACAGCACTTGATAGGGCTTCACTTACAAATTGTTTATGGTACAAGTTGCTAACTTAATATGATAACTGGAGGAGTGTGTATTTGGTGAATCGCAAATATTACACTCAACCAGCATTGCATACAGTTTCTCTTTTTCCAGTACAACAAAGAAGGTTGGATACAAAAGGTTTCCATGGGACACTTGAACAATGTACAACTGTAGCACTTTTAGGTTTGCACTTACAATTTATGTTAATGTTACAAGTTCTTCACACTTTGTCCCATTTTTGCTGAATAATGAAGAACTGAATAAATTAATGGATTTGATAGTGGGAGTAAACCAACGGTGTTTTCTACGGAAGAGGATTCGGGCATGTGAAGAAGAAAAAAACACGTTTGGCAAGATTCTCACTTTAAAGTCAGAATTCTGAGATTAAAGTGAGAATCTTGCCAACCTTGTTTTTTTTTTTTCTTCATTGGCCCTAATCCTCTTCCATAGTTTTCCACCTGACCATCTATCATGGGAAAAAGTGTGGGCTGAAAAGAAGAGATTCAAATTGGGCTGCGCTCTGCTTGACATGAATTCCCAGGTGAGGCCCCTACCCCGAGCCAGAGCCAATGAAAAATATGAGCAGACCTGTGGTCGCAGAAGTGGTCAGATTGCTTTTATTTCATTTTTCAAAGGTTACCCAGTTGCCTTGGCAACAGAGGTGACGCTAATGCAGGAGGATTGCTCAATTATGAAAGGTGAATCAGGGTTATTTTTGTGAATAGATCCAAGGAAACAGGGTTCAGTCTGTTTGTAGCTCATATTAAATTTGTTTTGATACTATAAATGGCAATTGGACCTCCAAAGAAACTGTCAAATATTTTAACTAATGTATTTGTTGGATATTATTTGAAACCCTTTTTCATATATGTGTTTGCCTTGGTTTCTATCATATGTTGATTTCGTGTCTCGTCCTTGCACGAATGGCTCTAAATTGTTGGTTGTCACCTGACCTGATTATTTATTATATTATATTATATTATATTATATTATATTATATTATATTATATTATATTATAATTTAGCTTTCTGTGTACAAATTCTAGTTGTAACCAGGAGGACTATACGTTTATATTTTTGCTCAAGGTCTCATCCAAACAACAATAGGAAGCTTTAGGGCAGCGTAGTCAAATTAATTGTTTGTGTTACGGAACAACCAGACATCACAAGATTAAAGAGACAGCATATCCTGGGAGCTAATTACCAGGGACATAAAAAAATGATTACTAGAACTGTTTTCACTAGTTGGTCACTCCTACAGTCTGAAAAGACGAAGGGTAATAATTATTATGTAAAGGTATTTGAAACAGGGCGACACGGTGGACTACTGGTTAGCATGTCCGCCTCACAGTGCAGAGGTGCAGGGTTCGATTCTGGCTCTGGGCCTCCCTGTGTGGAGTTTGCATATTCTCCCCGTGCCTGCGTGGGTTTTCTCCAGGTACTCTGGTTTCCTCTCACATTCCAAAAACATGCATGGCAGGTTAATGGGAAGACTCTAAATTTAGTTTCTCGATGTGAGTGTGCGCAAATGGTTGTTCGTCTAGGTGTCCCTGCGATTGGCTGGCAACCAGTTCAGGCCTGAAGACAGTTGGGAGGGGCTCCAGCACCCCCTGCGACCCTGGTGAGGATTAGAAAATGGATGGATGGATGGATGGTATTTGAAACAGATCTATCATCGCAACGTTTTCGAAAATTACTGTTGGATGTTGTGAATGCGTGTCCCTTCCTTCCCACAACAGTGGTGCCCAACCTTTTTTTGACTCAAGATCTACTTTTCAAACAGTCAACCTCCCATGATCGACCCGTTATTTCGCCAAAACGGACAGACATGCACGCGCAAGCATTTTTGTCCAACTTTTTAAATCCTGTTTTGATCAGAGCACGTATTGTTGTGTGCGTTGTGTGCACTAATTTGGTTAAGTGTAGTTGTTTGAAATATTTGTGCAATACTATTAAATAGACTTTTTTCAGAGTGACTGAAAAAAATAGTTGGTTGATAAAAGTATCGTGTTTGATTTGTTGGCTGTAGTTTTGATTAAAAATGATGAATAACATGAATATGTGTGCTGATCTGTTTGTCAGTGTTGAAAAGTGAGTTGTACATCTCGGTTTGGTTTGCGAAGAGGGTCCTGTATTTGATGTTTGGCCTCCTGGGCCTATGAGTAGATAATGGCGGCCTTGGGGAGGGAGGGTGTCTCCATATAACAGAGGAAAAAGAGGCAAGCTCGTTTCATTTTCTCTAATCAAAAAATACATGAAATGTTTTTTTGTGTGTATGACAAATGGGCCTTGCTGGCTTGATACAGTGACATAACAGTGCCCCTGACATTATGTTGCACAGGTAAGAGTTAAATACAATAAACAGGAACTATAAGGTTCAGTATACACTATACAAACATGCAACATTTGATTATTGATTGTTCACAAAATCGTCATTGAAAAAAATATATCTTCAAAACTGACTGTTTTAAATTATTCAATTTAAATTGTAATATTAAGTTTGGACAGAGTCATAACATAATCTCAACTGATCAATAGTCCTCTTCATATTTGATTTCTTTTCATCAGAAGATGAATCACTATGCCACAGAAGGCGCAGGATTGCTGTTTTTTTTTTTTTTGATGAGACCCAACAAGCGCAAGTAATATAAATAACATGAATGCATCTAAGGGTTACTTTGAAGTCATTTTAAATTGAAAACTGATTCAGAATCGAGTTTCTGCCTCCCACCCATACTTAAGTATAGCATGTTGATACTAATCAGTTTTCTACTGGTAAAAATCCTTTATCAGTAACATGATCAGTATCTTCAAATAATGTACAGGACTATTGTTAATTGTTAATGTAACAAATAATGGTAACTTGCGCTAAATTGTTTTTTTCAGAAGTGTGCATCAACCGTGAACCTTTTGCATTAGAATTAGCCCTTCCTTTCAAAAAATATAGTTAATGTATGAATGGAAAAGATTGATTTCCGTAGGTATGATGGTATTATTTGGTCATGTTTCTGAGACTGTGAACATTGAGAACAACATTTTTATTCTGTCTATGTTTCACACATACTGCATGTTGACAGTACAAAGCTATCTACCTACCTATGTTGGGTAGTGGAACGTGTAGTAATAGTGACAACTCCAACTACTTCCAGCCAGGAAGTCACACAACCTGACTGCGTCGTCTGTCAATGTGGAGCAAGTAAGAACTTTATTACAAAGCAACAAAGATCAAAGAAACACTGACACGTGACAAACATGCATGCAACACAGTGGACACTGTGTAACGAATTGAGAGCAAATATCTTAATACCCTCATTTATATTGACGACATAAAACACATTTGGAACAGCTTTTCATTGTAACATTGTGCATATGAAATAATGTTCCTCCAAACGTGAACTTTGTAAACGTATAAAGGGAACTTAAATCTTGTCGCCGGTTTTGTTGAAACTTTTGCCACCATGTGGTCTGTTGGCAGTACTGCAGTATTAGACTGCGGTCAATTGAATTTTTGATGATTTTTAAAAAAAAATTATTCAGGTGTAAAGGTAAAAATTGCAGATTTTAGAAGCATTTTACTTTAAAATGCAACATCAGATCCGAGTGAAAGTACTCTGGTTGGATACCTGGTGTGGCTTAGTGTGCCCTAGTCCTCGTCTGGTTGTGGGATAATGAAAATAGATTTTTAAATTAATTAAATAATTAGATGAAACCCCACAGGAAGGCCGGAGCAGGAATCGAACGCTGCACTTCTGCATTGTGAGGCCTACGTGTCACCTATAATTCATAATTACTTAATTTATTTGAGGGACACCAACAGTGTGCAAACTATGACACCTCTCCAAAACTGTGAATACAGTACACAGCATCAACCTTGAATCAGCTGTGCTATCTTTGAGAACATATTACATACTCATACCTGTTGGCAGAAAGCTCAATTTAGGCTCTCTGACATGGATGTAACCTTCCTACTGTGCCGTATGTTCTTGAACATGTCCCAAAATGTCAATAGACAAAGATATTTTAATGTGATTTATACAATAATAAAGTAAAATTTGCAATATTCATTTTTTTGTTTATTGATTTATTATATCGCAAATGTCTCATTGAAACTGAAAAATTACTTTGGCTCCATAATAAAAAAAGACGCCCCCCCCCCCCAAAAAGGTAATTAAAAGTCATTTAATAAAAGTACACGTAATATTTTATGTTGTTCCTATAAAAAACACCTCAGTCTATCATGAAAGATTTTCATCAAAAACATGTAATAACTTTTATATTCTGGGAACATCAAAGTCACCTATAGCCAAGAATGACCCTTACCTGGCAGTGGGACAAAATGATAACAATTCAATACTTACTTACCTTCGACAAGTCATCTTTGGTAATACTGGACTGTTTAGAAAGTCGTTTCTCTACCCATGGAGGATTTTCTGGGCCCAGTTCCTTTTTCGATGATAGCTCTTGTCTACCACTCTGTGGTCGTACGAGTATACTACAACCTCCACGGTGAGGAAACAAAATTCACTTGACCAGCTTGAATTGATGGAGGTCTTTTCGCACCCTCCCTGACAAGTTCTCTCCGTCGAATTCTTCTCAATGTCACCATTTTCTTCGCTTGACGATGGGCGCCCTGAGTTACACGCCTTGGAAAATATTGTGTAGCTTTCTCCTCATACATTTAATTTCAATAATGTAATTTGATGCAATGTTCGGAATAATCCCAACTACAGTAGCTAGACTTTTTGTGATTAATCAAGTTCACCGTAATGGCAGGTGTGTATTGACTACTATTTACCATGAATTTGAAATTTGGTCAATAACCTAAAAAAAATCATGATACGTAAATATTCATAGCCTTTGCGCAATGCTTTGGTGATGCCCCCCTTGGGAGATATTACAGACTCAAGTCTTTTCAGTAGGATGCCACAAGCCTGGCACACCGACCTTTGACAGTTTTACTCACTCCTCTGTGCAGCACCTCCAAAGCACCACCAGGTTGGGTCGGCAACATCGATGCACAACCACTTTCCGATCGCTGCAGAAAATTGAATTCAAGTCTGTGCTCCGGCTAGGCCACCAAAGAACAGTTCCAAGTTGTCCTGAAGCCGCTCCTTTTATATCTTATAGGTGCTTTGACAAGCCTCCCCAGTTCACAAATGTTTATTGAGTGTTGTTAAAAGAAAAGGTGATGAAACACAGTCGAAAACATGACCCTGTCCGAGATTTTTTTGGAACAAGTTGCAGCCATAAAATTCTAATCGAATGATCATTTGGTAAAAACGATAAAGTCTATCAGTTGTATAATTAAATCTCTTGTCTTTGTAGTGTATTCAATTAAAGGGACGGTGTGTTGACTTTTCAATTCCTTGGATTACTCCTTTCAAAAACATGAAAAACAATGTTAAATCACATCAACGTAATTTCATTTCATGTAATTGTAGGTGAAGTAAGCGCTAATTGTATGACGTAACGCACCTCCCCTACAGGAAGCCGCCATTGTTTCGCCCCCGTCCTTCAGCCATGGATACCCGAAGGAGACAAACTTACCGACAGTAGTACCTCAACATCATCCCTATAACAGCATGTGTAACACTTGAGAGGAATACTAGAAGTCGTTTGTGATGACATTTGGATTCCACCTCTGCTGAAATAAATTGTTAGATAATTTGCGAAGTACGGTCTCTCTGAGGCACCGTAGTTCACCACTAGAACTGTACACACTGTGCCCTTAAAAACAGGTTGAACATGATTTACAAATCATTGAACTGTATTCTGTTTTTTATTTATGTTTAACACAACGTGCCAACTTCATTGGAATTGGGTTTCTACGACAGGTGGACTCATTTTCCAATGTACTGAATACCCACTGTAGGTACAGACGCCAATCAAGGCTACTGTTTTCACAATTATGCACATTGTATGGCAAATGAATGTCAGTGCCTCATTTATTGTTTTTAACAATGACAGTGACCTCCACACGACAACAATAAAGAACAAGGCATTAGCCAGAAAATTAAAAACATTGTTGACTGGTACTGAAGACCAAAACAGTTAAACAGTTTTCAAAAGCTGGAGTGTATATATACTGAATATATATTTATTTCTATAAATTAATTTCAATATCAGGTAGATTTCATATTTATACTGTATATACAGTAAATTTATTTGTACGCAGATAAAGCAAAGAGAATAAACCTTTATTTTTTCCAACTTTCTTTGAATCTGCTCTGCACAGACTTGCTGGCACATTGCACATAAATTCAGAAATTATTTTTGCAAGGGCTATATGGCCTAAGGTTGAATTTTCAGGTTTTGTAGTCACCCACTGAAAACAGATTAGACAATTCTATCTGGGTTATACTTTGCAGTGATTCTGGCTTACATTGCATGACATCCATTCATTTTTTTTCGTGCCTATTCCTATCAGGGTCATTGAGGAGCTGAATGGGAAGCGGGGTCCAAACTAGCCCATGCATTGATCTCCAACCACAGGTCCACGGGCCAGTATGGTACTATGCCGTACTGATATTTTTAATTCAAAAACTTTTTTTTTTTGGGGGGGGTGGATTAGTGGTTGATTAGAACCCCGCAACCCCTAACCCAACTGCAAACCCCCACCCAACCCCGTCGGCCTTCAAGGGATGGTTGCAAAGTCTGTGAAATATTAGTTGGTATTAGTTGGCTCATGAACTAGTGCGTGGCGTAAAATATGTTGGAAACCACCGCCCTAGACCCCAACCTTTTTGTTTTTTTTCTTACTGACGAATAGCCAATGGCCTAGACTATTCACCAGTCACTCTCACAGCGAACAAATTAACCACTGTTCACACACAAGTAAATATATTCAATTCACCAAGCTTGCATGTTTTTTTTGAATGTGGGAGGATACCGGACTACCACAAGAATACTATGCAACCATAAGAAGAATCCCGCACTAACTCCACACAGATTGGCCGTAGCCAAGATTTGAACCTGGAACATCTGAGACATATAGCACTACATTGTATACATCTTAGTACAATGCAGTGCAGAACATTACCATTTTTTATATATATATATATATA